AGAATTTTACTAACTTTAAACAATAATTAATATGATCAATATTAATGATTAAAATTTCTTATAAGTATTTAGGATATTCAAATATTAATAAAAAATAAGTTTCTATAATAAATTTGTGCATTATTAAAAATGGATGAGAAATTCCCAAAATCTTTTTGATAAGGAGATTAAGGACGTGGAACACGTATAAATCTATTTGGAGAACCCTTAAGATCACCCCCTACTACATTTTTTGTAGATAATTTGTCGAGGAATTGCTTCATTTCATCAGGAGGTCCATTTCCGCTAGATGCAATAATCAAAGCAACTGTTCCAGCGACTATTTAATAGAAAGCTTGGGATGAATACTACTATATATATAAAATAAACTTCGATAAATAGAATATTTATAATCACAAACCGTGAGGGGATGCTGAACTGGCTCCTGATTCTTTAAGTAAGTCAATAGGAGACCGATTACCAGCTGCAGTGATATCCGTGCCTAATTATTAAATAACAATCAATTATTGTATATATGAAAGTATTTGTTATTCATTATGACTGATTTGTGGGATCGGCTTTTTTATTTAAATCTTTAATATTTTAAATACAAATTAATTTCTGTAATATGTCAAGTTAATAAAAATCAATTCCACAAGTTTGCCGTAATGCAAGTTTTAAGTTGTTACCTGGTGCAAAGATATTAACACATTTTCCAATGTTTGAAAAGTCTGTGATGTTATCAGTATCAGTAACAGTAGCTCCAACTGCTATGGCATTAGGTGCTGATGCTGGTGAGATTTCACAAGTATCTCCTCCGAAATCATTTCCCGCAGCGACAACAAAATGAACACCCTTTTTACCTACTTCTACAGTTGCATTATTTACAGCGTCTGACTTAGGGCCACCTATAGACATGCTATAAAATAGGTTAATTTAAGTTTTTATAGAATTGATAGTGTAGTTAAAATATTACTTAATCACTGTATTCTTGTTAGAACTTTTCATATGTTGCTTTCCTATATAGCTTAATGCTGAAATAATGTTATTGTACTCACAAAAACCTGAAGAGTTGCAAACCTTAACAGAAATTAAAGACACTTTGTTTGCTACACCATATATTTTCCTGAAATAATTTCAAATTTTAGAGTCAAGCATTAAGAAACTTTTACAATAATATTTTACTGATAACTTTTAATACCTCCAACCTATCAATATGATTTAATTTTGTTAGAACATTATAAAGATAAGTATATGACAGCAATATGTAAAATCATAAAATCGAAACCGAAAGGGCATTATAATTTTGATCATTATGATACTAGGGGTTTGCATATAAAATTTATAATACTCACAATCCCTGCGACACTTGATCCGTGACTTTTTATTTTTTTTAAAAAAAAAAACATTTTAGAAAATTGACTAAATTTTTTAAAAACTATTTAAAAATTGTAGAAATCAAAAATGGATACCCATAATCATCTATGTTCGGACATTTAATTATAAATCAATAATTATTGTTATATATATATATATATTTTATTTTAATTAGTGCGGTAATTGATAACTTACGTATCAACAATATAAACATTTACTTTAGATCCAGCACTTTTAGGACAAGTATAGTTTCCATCCAATGGACGGTGTTGTTGGTCAATACGATCCAGATTCTAAAAAATTTAAATAAAGAATCATTAACGTTTTTTATTTGGGTTATTTTAAGTTAAAACAAAGAACTTGAGTAAGAATAAAAGTTACGATAGGCATGGTAGGAGGAATCATAGTAGCAGTTGTTGTTGGAGGGCTAAAATAGGTTGGAAATGAATTAATTCTAAATGCTCTATCACGTTCTACATTAACAACCTCAGGTAAATTAGCCAATCCAGCAGCATCACTAGGACCAAACTTTCCAATGTAACAATTGAATGATCCAAAACTGACATCTCTAATAATGCTAGGATTACTTGATTGAATAGCTGAATCACTGCTAATTTTTTTATTAAAACAAGATGTTAACATTGCAAAGTGATTATTTATTACATCTTTTGAGGCCGTTGGGGAGAGCTGAATAATGAAGGTTTGAAGAGCTTCATGAGGATTTGGAGTTAAAGGACAATTGAATGATTCAACCAAAGTAATTGAACAAATAATAAATAGGGAAATAATTTTAGTGAAATATGAACTAACTATCAAATTTAATTTTTAATAAAGAAATATCGAATTAAGCGGTGGGTGTGTAAAAAAAAATTAAATAAATAACTGGATAATGTATGAGCAAAATTTTCAAAATTCTTATATAGATGAGTACATAACAAACCAGTATACTGTATATATACTCTAAGGGTTGTTTTGCTATGTATTCGCCCATATAGTATTTGAGAAATAAAATAGTTTCGCAACCAAAATTTCAGCACTGTTTTCATATATTCTAGATAAATTATAGAGTTGGAATCAACAAGTTACCGATGTCAGCTGAAATCAGAAGATTATCGATCCATCTATAATAATTTTGTATGAGAATAGCTATAATAATTTGTAAGAGATCATTCAAAATTTCGCTAATGAAGTCACCCATTGAAGTAAAAATACGCGAAATTTTTAAGGAAAACTCTATTCGGGAATCTGGGAATCTGAGAATGTAAATTGTTGTAAATTTTAATGTAAATATAAAAACTTCTAAAAATGAAAAGAATTTTTTTTCTAAATTATCGCGCTTTTTACACTAAAATCTTTAAAACTTTCTAAATTCACAATTTTTTTGCAAATAAAGTAAATTTCTTGCCTAAAAATGAAAGAATTTTTTTCTAAATTATCGCGCTTTTTACACTAAAACCTTCAAAACTTTATAAATTTACAATTTTTTTGCAATTAAACTAAAATTCTTGCCTAAAAATAAAAATTTCAAAATTTTCTTTATTTCCGCATTTTTGATCCTGAACTGATTATTGGTATAGCTAAATAGTGATGGGAATCTTAGACTTAATTCGAATCAAGATAGATTAAAATTGAATAATGCCAGATTGCTTTTTTACTACATAAAAAAAAATCAGATAAAAGCACCCCTGAAATTACATTGAATAGTATAGGAATTCTGATTACCTCATTCTCTTCCTTATTTTATTTTATTTATTTGCTTAAATTATTTTTTATTTTCAAATTTATTTTTATTTTTCTTTAAAACAATTTTGAAATTGTAAGAATACTAATTAGAATAAATTACTATACAATTATACTTTTCAAATTGCTGTGACAACACATAACGCAAAATCTGCAAAACTTTTCAAATTTACTATTGATTTTACGAATTGCTACTTAAAATAAAATGCTAATTTTTTACGATAGTGTAACAGTCATTAGTATTTTATAACTACTATAGTTTTTACAAAATTATAATACTAAATAATTATCATTTATTTAATAATTAGACTAGAGCTCTACTTAATTATATACGAGCTAATAGAATTCAAAAATGATACTAAACATCAAAGCCTAGGCTAAATATTGAGTAATTTCGCTTAAGTTTGAAAAAATATATATATGTTGCGAGTGGAAACGGAATTTAAGTGGATTTTGAATTTCTTTAATTTTTGGATAAGGATAACTTTCCGTAATTGTTGATCACATGAAATTGAATAATAAGTTATGATTGGCATTCATGTATCATGTTCAAATTACATTATAGTAAACTTATCGCTTTTCACTTTAACAAAAACCTTTTTTAAACACCTTTTATACTGAACTAATATAATGTTTAAAGATCTATTGTTTATTATACACAGAGCACGTTATGATAATACTCGTTAGAGGCTGTAGACATATAAAAAGTTTTAAACACTCATATATTATAACTTATGTATTAGTGTTCTTTATGTTTTAAAACTTCTTTATCATGGTTTATAAATCGCTTTATCTATTTTTAAAAAAAGTTTGTACTATTAGGAGGTTTCAAAGTTAACAAATGAGTGGCGCATTTTGAAATTAAATGAGAGTTTGAAAAATCTTAATTGTATTTCAACATTTTAAAATGGAGATCCCCATTTAATGAAATGAATAGACTTTTCACGACAAAAATCATTTCAAATTTATCGGAAAATGAAATAAAGTTGATACATCGCTCATTTAAAATAAATTTGTAACCAATTTCAATTAAAATTAGATTTCCGCATTTTAACTTTGAAATCCCCTATTGGTTTTTTTTTCAATAACTCAGCTATATTTAACGGTCGAGTAATTACATAGTTCTGTAGTTACAATATACATAGAACTTGCATAGTAACTGTTAGTACTTCTTCGAAGATAGAGACGGGTTTAATTTTTATTTTTCTACTTATGGAATATTACATTCTTAAAAGTGTAAACTGTATAAATACAATTGAAAGTGATTGACCAATCAGAGGAAAGTTATCCTAAAAATACCGAAATGATCTACATCCTTGTTTTTTAACACATTAACACATTATTTAACACAGTAAAACGACGCACTTATGTTTGTGAAACTTGACTTGTCTAAATTTGTTTCCTTTTGCTCTAATTACGGTGATTAGCTAATGTTTGATATCCTAAATACTTATAAGAAATTTTAATCATTAATATTGATCATATTAATTATTGTTTAAAGTTAGTAAAATTCT